GGCGGAGGAGCGGCGAGCCCCGCCCGGGCCAGGCTGCCCCGGCACCGCCGCGCTCCGCCCCGGCAGCGGAGGGAAGCGGGGGTTTGAGCCCCGTTGTCGCTCTTCCCTCTGCGAAAGGAGGAGGGATCGGCTGTGCCTCTGCGTGACGGACAGCAGCTTTCACCCCCCGTGGTGGTGTTTATTGATGCTTAGAGAAATGTCAACTTAAGCCCTGATTTTTTTCCTTCTATCTGAACAAAAGTTATAACATTTTAAATGCGCTACGATCTGAGAAACGCAGTTAGCAATATGTAATTGTTTCTATTAATTCACTTTAGAAAATACTTCTTTTCCTCAAGGACAAAATAACTTACAAACTGTAACACACAAGAAGTTTTGATTGCGCTATGGGGTTTCCTGTTAGGTTTGGCCTGCCTTGAAGAGCAGACCAGTAAATAAAGACCAAGTTGTTCTTTAAATGCAAAGAACACAATTCAGAGTATTAGATTAACCCGTTTGTATAAACTCAGGTAGTTCCAAATAAATGTAAATTGGCATCACTCCCTGGGCACCACAGAGGGCACCAGGACACCATTAAAGGGATACAGGGGAAGCCCTACCAAGCCCTGCTGAAGATTGAAACCGTTACTTTTGCAGTAATACACTTACTGAGCTCATTTATAGCATCTCTGAAAGCAGCAGGACTCACGTGGCAGTGGAAACAATTGCTGTGGCTGTGCCGCTTCGAAGAACAGGCACGATTTGTTCGATTTGTTACCTGAGGTCCTTTACATCGTCACTTCCATCCCACAGGCAGGGCCGCAGCTGGAGGCCAACCTTCGTGTTGCAAAGATGTGAAAACAAGGGGTTCCCTTTTAGATTTTCATTGCAACCTTAGGACGTAAGAGAAGAAAGTAGAAAAATGACTTTGCCATTGGCTGAATTTCACTGCACCTTTTCAGACACTAATTCAACATTAAGTGGGTCCAAAAATAGGGGGGGGGGGAATATAATTCACATTCTTTTTTACCATGGGTGAAATGCTAAAGCTGGTGCTTGGCAGTTAACGTGGTGCTGTTTCTTGAGAGCAATACGCCTAAATGAAGCCTGCAAGAGAGCTGTGAGTTTGCAGCTCCGACAACTGGTGCTCCACTGCTTTTCAGTCAGCACATAATTAAAAGAAAGCGAGCCCTGGCAGGAAAGGGATGAGAGAGAAAGAGCAGAAGCTCTCTGTGGAGCTGACATCAGATGACCTAACGTCTGTGCTTCTCTTTCCCTTTCTCTCTGCTTGAGTAAGCTATAAACAGAGCTGAGATCATTTATACCCATAAAATAGAAACGTTATCATCATTATCTGAAGCATGCGCTTGCATGATCTACCAAATAAAGATATCAAAGTGCTATTAACAAGATACTCTCTTTGGAATTAAAAACTTCTATTCCATTGCTGGGTATTTACAGAACCAAGTCGTTCACCGCTTGTATTTTGGAAGTTTCTTGCAACTGGGACAAGAATTGCTGGTAAATTCCCAGTGTAATTTTACTTTTTTTTTTCCCAATACACCCCACACGCTACCAAAGCTGTGCCCATAAACCTGCAAGATCAAAAAAGGTCAAAAAAAAAGAAGCCCAATGTTTGCAAAGCAATTCACTGTAGCCAAGTCTTACAACACACTGGGCTTGCATGTGGCAGGAACTGGGTTCTGACCAGACCTTAACATCTCCCCTATTGCCCTTGGAGTAGCAGCAAACAGCATCCTTGGAGCACACAGAGATAGGTGCCAGTGCCCTAGGATGGTAAGGATTGTAGGGCCCTTTCTGCATGGGGACTTGATGTGGCATCTGGTGACGGGAGCATTTTGCTCCCCAATTAATTTCTCAGTGGATACAATGATGTTTCTATAACGTATTGTCTAGATGTTTCTAATCTCTACATTGTCAATATAATTAAAAGAAAAAAAAATCATAGGTCATTTCAGGATGCTTTTAACAAGCCTACTTGGTCCACAAGGAGTTAATTATCTCCTGGATTTACCAATTATTGGGAAGATTGTCTTAAGAAGTTCCTGGTGTGACACACTTTCGCTGTCTCCTCCCTTCTTTGTTCTCTTCCTCCTTTCTCCGATTACAGTTCCAAAAACAACACCCAACCTCCTGAGGTCAACGGTTAATATTCCCCAGTGTTTATATAGTCTCCAGCAGCAGACTTCAGGCCTTTCAGAACTGGGCTAGCTCCAGCACCATGGCCGGCTTCTTGCAGATGGCCCTGGCCCTCAGGAAATACCTGATCATAGTGCTTGTACCCCTCTTGTTTCTTCCTCTGCCTCTGGCTATTCCTACCAAGGTAAGAACTTTTAAATTGAATTTGAGAGCCAAATCTTTCCTTAGAGCTGTTCCTTTAAAGTGACAGAGCTGAAGAGAATGTGCGGTTTCTTTCTCAGAGGCACTTCATTTACTGCTTGAAGATCCTTCTTTTCTGAGCAGACCCCTTTGACTACTGATAGTGGGGGAATATAAAAGCAAGGGGACACAAATGGTTCAACAGATACATCTGTGATTGCATATCCTAGAAGACTGCTCAGACATGCAATTTAGTAACTTTTGCTTTGCAGCGAAGTGATTTAGCAAAGGACTTTCTATGCTGAAGCTCATATGCATGAACCTAAGCTACAATCTAAGGCACAGTTTTAATCCTCCTGATTTTCTGAAAGTATCCAGTCCACATCCTCTTTTAATTTTTTCCTTCTTGTCGTTGCCACATAGAAGAGGTATTTTTTTTCTCGGTCAGATGGACAAGGCATTCTGATAGACACAGAACTACAAAACTAGAACTACTATAATACAAAACCCTGTAGCTGTGAGGCAGGTATTTCTGAGACATCGACCATTTAAATACAGCGCTGTGAGCAGGCAGACTGCCAGCGTTCTGCTCCTTCTTCACTCCGATGTATTTCTCCCACTCCTAATCTCTTCATGCGGTCAGATCTAATCTCTGGTCTTCAAGACTCCTGGTGCAGGCCCAGCATCATTAAATGGCTCGTCCCAACCCTCTTCTCCTGTCACTGCTCTTTGGTCTCTTGGTCTCTGGTGACTCCCAGCTTCTCTTCTCCTTCTCCAAGCTTCATTCTTCACTCTGCCAGCTCTTCCCTGGCTTTTTGTGCAGCCTGTCCCAATGCTCCTTCTCCCTCACAGCTCTTTTCCTCAGTGTTATCAGAGATTTTTGAGCTACAACCAGAGGATTGCAAGCAGGAACGATGGAGTGGCACTGGCTTGAGGTGAAGTGTGGTGGCTGATCGGGCATGTCCTTTTATTCTCTTGCTATGCAAATAAAACAGCTTAAACTATCACTTAAAAGCTTACTTAAGAAGAAAACCAGAAAAAGCACTCTTTTGCTTGTTAACTTTCCATACGCAACAGAGTTACTGAAGTTAAAAGAGATTTGGATCAGAAAAGTTCTAAGTAGCCAGAAAGAGAGCTATATATGGGGTTTTTTTGTCCCGAGGTCACAAATTCAAGCTTACCTGCTAGAGCCATTGTTACCCTACAATAAGTCCTTGGTACTGCCTGTGGAATGATTTGGCAGTCTTGATTCCTTCTTAAAATTTACCCTTTCTGGTTTCTATGTAGGCAGCTACAACACAAAAATTTTAAATGCCCCGGACTTTCCCCTTTGCAATCTGTAAGATTATCTCTTGTGTTAGAATTGTGCATCTCGGTACTGCTGAGCAGGAAAAGCTGGTGCCTCAGCATGCAGAGGTGTAATCAGACAACTTACAGGATGGAATTTCACATTCTTCTGCTCTGTGGAGCTGTTAACCTGTCCTATAATGACAGAGCACTGGACAGGAAACTGCTATAAATGAGAGCAGACAATGCTAAAAATTCTGTCTATAGACAGAGGAATGTCCTTACGGGACAACTGTCTTTGTAAAAGCCTTATTCCAGCTTTTACTGAGAGCCTGTTCACAGCAGGGTGGAAGAGGGTAGCACTGTGGTTATGATACATGCTCCAAAGCCCTGCTAGGGTCTCTTAATAACAAAAATGGGAAAAAGAGGATCATCAAAATGGAGAATTGCTTTCAGTGCTTGATGGGATGTAGAATTAAGAGTCTTACAGCTTTGTCAAAATTAAGGCTCAAAAAGGCATCTTTTCATCTCTTCATGAGTCCCTTCCAGCTTTACTTCTCCAACCCTGCTGCTTTGGTACTTTACCACCTAGACTGCAATCTCCTTCTTTCCTCCGGGCTACTCAGCTCCCCAGTTGATCCTTTCCCTTCACCAGCCACGGTCAGAAGTCCTGAGCACGTTCTAAAGCATCACAAGTCTGACCCTGCCAGCCCCTATTCCAGCTCCTTGGTTTAATCCTCTGTAGTCTGGCCATTACAATTTCCATCTCTTCATTATTTTCTCAGTAAGCATCACAACGTTTTCATCCATACCGTCCAGTGTATTTTAGTGGATATTCTTGATCCAAGACCATACAACCACTTTCTTCTTCCTTTGGATTTGCTTCTTCTTGTGCTATTTTCACAATGAGGAAAAAAAATTCTGTTGTGACACGTTATTTTGAATCTTTTTAACGCATGGAAGAGAGTGAAAGATTTTTACCTAAAATTTGGAGTAGTTGTCCAAGGCAGAACTATATCAATGTTTTCTCAGAGAAAGAGTAACACGAAATAGGGGATCATACTTTCTTCAGAGAAACAAGTCACAGTCAGTGGAAGCTGAAACTGCTCTGTGACCAGTTTGTCAGTGAACATTTTGAAGTCTGTACTAAGCTAAATATCCAATGAAAAATAAATGTATTTACAGTACAAGGAATCCAGGCTGTTGAAATTAGGTGGGGTTCACCTGGGCCGTGTCCTGAAACACGTGGAGAAAAAGGTGGAGAAACCTTGACTGGATCAGGGACTATTTCTGCCACTCAAAACTAGAAATATATAAAAAGAAAATACTACCATCAGCAAAATCAAGAAGTCTGTGCAGGGATTGCCAATCCCTTATCATGAAGGGTTCAAAGTCATCAGTTTCTTTCTTTCCCTAAGTTTCTTGGTTTTCCCCACAGGAGGCCCCAATCTTTTCCTCTCAGTTCTGACAAGGTTGTTGAATAGTTTGTCATTTGATTAGGATCTGCATAGGTAGGAGGATAGACAGGAGAGAAAGATAGAAAATAACCTTTTCTCAAATCCCTTTATCAGGCAATGAATATAATTATGGGCTGTCGCCCTCTTGAAGCCCAAGTGAGATGTACAGTCTGTTCTGATTGTGTGTACTTCTTCTGTCAGGAGGCCGAATGTGGTTACGTTATCATAGTGATGGCACTGTTTTGGTGCACAGAAGCCTTGCCGTTGGCTGTCACCGCTCTCTTTCCTGTCCTGCTGTTCCCCGTAATGAACATCATGGATTCAACAACAGTAAGAGATCTTACTCTCTATGTGTTTGCCTATGTGGTTATTGGTTAGCTTCTCTTATTCTGGGATTATTTCCAGGGCGATTTCCAGAGCATGGTGCAAAGAGGAGAAAATTGCACTATTGTTACCCAGGGAATGGGCTGTTCTCTCCAGGGAACAGACCTTGCATGAGCCCAGAGTGAACTCTGGGTGGAGCTGCTAATCTGAAATCAAGGCAAATTCGCCGTTTAGATACAATCCATAGTTACTGCATGCTAATGTCTTTGGGACAAGACCCTCGCTAAGAAAACACCTTCTCTCTTGGCTTCTTGTCACTATTTTCTCTCCCTTGTTCCATGTTACAGGTCTGCAGGGAGTATCTGAAGGACACCAATATGCTTTTTATTGGAGGACTGCTGATGGCCATTGCCATTGAGAATTGGCACCTACACAAGCGCGTTGCTCTGCGGGTCTTGCTTACCACCGGTGTCAGACCAGCCCTGTGAGTAACAGTTGTGAAAACACTGGGGGGTGAAGGACTTTACGATGTTAGTTCCTGCCTCAGGGTTGCCCGTAGTCTCCATGTGAACCTGCAAATCACATCCTACAAATGCTTTTCTACATTCCAAGTGAGTGCCTGAGAAAAAAGGGAACTGCTGGAGAGAGTCCAGCGTAGGGCTACAAAGATGATGGAGGGAGTGGAGCATCTCCCTTATGAGGAGCGGCTGAGGGAGCTGAGGCTCTTTAGTTTGCAGAAGAGGAGACTGAGGGGAGACCTCATTCATGTTTATAAATATTTAAAGGGTGAGTGTCACGAGGATGGAGCCAGGCTCTTCTCGGTGACAAACAATGACAGGACAAGGGGTAACGGACACAAACTGGAACACAGGAGGTTCCACTGAAATTGGAGAAGAAACTTCTTCTCAGTGAGGGTGACAGAGCCCTGGCCCAGGCTGCCCAGAGAGGTTGTGGAGTCTCCTTCTCTGCAGACATTCAAAACCCGCCTGGACGCCTTCCTGTGTAACCTCATCTGGGTGTTCCTGCTCCGGCAGGGGGATTGGACTGGATGAGCTTTGGAGGGCCCTTCCAATCCCTAACAGTCTGGGATTCTGTGAAAAACTCACAAATGAGGATCCTCTGATGTGTTACAGACCTGGCACCTCGTTTTTGAATTCCAAATTGGCTTCAGGTGGAGAAATGGCAACAAGAGAGACAATGCTGAAAAGACAAGGGTGCTGCTGGACTTGGTCAGAAGCACAGCTTTAAATAATTGGGAAAGACCACAGCTGAAGCGCAGAAAACATCTACTCTCTGTTTTACTGATTGCAAAGAGAAGAGAAAAGATGGGGATGCTTGTTTTGAAAACAACCAATGTTTACCAGACTAGAACTTTAAGCTATGCAGAGGCTGCATGGCCCTATTTAATTTGTCTCAGATCATAAGAAGGGGGAATACTGAAGGAAATTACAAAGCAATAGAATAAAAATGCATACAAGATAAAGCCCTTTTCATCTAATATATAATCTACATCTCATCGAAAGAATAATTCTGAGACAAATAACAGAGTAATACTGAAACAAGGATTAGAATTTTATATGAGTAAGAAGAGAATCTTAAATAATAGAGGTGGGATAAAATTACAAACAACAAAAAAAAGAGAGAGATCATCTTCCTTATGGCTTAAACTGATCACCATTTGGGATCAAATTCAGCTTGCTGTTCCTCTTCAAAATATATTACAGTACATCACCGTGTGTTATTGAGATGGTATGTCTTCCTCGGAAACACACAGAATAAGCAGGATACTGAGGAGGTGAACTGTTTGCTCCAAGATACCAGCTTTTACTTTCCTAAGTCCTAGGAATGTAAAAGCACAATTGGCTGAAGCTGTGAAAAATTAAAAATTATGTTAAATCTTACTGAGTCATTCACAAAGCAGACAAGGGTAAAGGGTAAGAGGAAGTGCTCGGTGTGAACTGCTAAGCGTTTTCCAGACGTTGCGTTTGTAACCAAAGCTTTGTCACAAAAGGAAAGGGCGTTGCAGCGCTGAGTTCTGAACCACCTTTTCCAAACCTTTTCACTTCAGACTTCTCATGGGTTTCATGGTTGTGACCGCCTTCCTGTCGATGTGGATCAGCAACACCGCCACCACTGCCATGATGGTCCCAATAGCACAAGCAGTGTTGGAACAGTTGCACAAGTCAGAAATGGAGTCTAGCACAGCTGGCCAAGGATCGGAAAAAATCAATGAAGCCTTTGAACTGCAAGAAGAGTCAACTAAACCAGACAGCTCCAAAGAAACAGAGAAAAAGGGTGAGTGGGTTCTTGGTGTTTGCTCTGGGACAAGGGAGGATGACCCGATGCCTTCTTCACTGTCATTAGAGTTGCTGGTAAATCCTAAAAGAAGAATGTACCTAAAACATCCTGACTGTATCAGACAGCATTTATGAGGCTTTTCCATGAACCAGACAAAAGCACAATAAGATCTACTGACTTGGCTGTAGTTAGAAATAGATTGAATATATGAAGAGATCTTAACTAATCAATAAAACAACAAAACGTGTAAATTCTCCATTAGTTGAAGCCTTTACATTAGGCTTGATATTTCCCTTTATATTTACGTTAGTTCAGTTATTATTTACTGTGTGACTTACCAGATAATAGGGAATTTCAGAGGGAGAATTTCTGGCCTGTTTCATGCCAGAAGGTTAGGGATTAAAATGATCTTTCTAATCCAAAGATATACGATCATCCATCAATATCTCTCTACCAGCTGTCTTGCCTTCTTCCCATCTTTCAGATAACTGGAGTGTTCGAGCTTCTGTAACTCTTGTTTCTGTCTTGGGTCCCAGGTAACAGTCACGTCCTGACAATCGAGGAAGACAGAAAGAGAGATGAAAGTCTGCTGGAGGAGAAACACAAGAAATTCTGCAAGGGAATGTCTCTCTGCATTTGTTACTCAGCGAGTATTGGAGGGATTGCAACTCTGACCGGGACAACACCAAATCTGGTACTGCAAGGACAAATTGATGAGTAAGTCTGGTTGAATTTGGGATTACACACCCACTGAGCTCTATCACTCTGCTACAGCCAACTTCCAGCCAGCACAGAGAAGGAAAATATCAGTTTGGTAACTTTGTCGGGAAGTTAGCTTCTCTTCCTCAGTGGGCCTCGCAGTACCTCCGCTTTTCTGAATCATTAGTTAAATACAGAAGAGTGCAGAATTTTGGACACTAAAAGCAATCTACGTTTTACAGGCTCTTTCCTAAAAATGGTAATGTCATCAACTTTGCCTCTTGGTTCTCCTTCGCCTTCCCCACCATGGTCGTGTTACTGGTTTTGACGTGGATTTGGCTGCAGATATTGTACTTGGGCTTTAAGTAAGTACCCTCCACACACTGTAACACAGCCAACAGGCCTGTTAGCAAGTACTCATCACACCTTGTAACACAAGTGATACTTTTATTGATAAGCCTGTGCTTGAAAGCAAGTGATACAGTCCTCACATACAACAGAGACCAGCAGAACGGCATACCTGTTAAAATACTGCAACTTTTTCTCCGGGGTACCTGATCAAATCCCAGCTAAATATACTCTGCAGATGAAAATAGGAAGTTATAACTGCATGTAACCTGTTCTGCAGCATTGCTTTCACGTCTTGAAAGATTGTTGTGCTGCAAACCAGGAAACTGATTTCTACATAGAGCTGGTAAATGTCTTTGCAACAGGAGCTGTTACAGACCTAGAGGATTAGTATTGTGCCAGTTCCCTATGCTAATCACCAATGCAACCGGCTTGCGTTACCTACCTGTTTAATGTCTAGCCTATCACTTCTGTATTATCCCCAACCTCCTTTCTTTTACATGGAAAGAGTACTGCAATACCTGAAATGGTACTTTCGTCTTCAAATTCCTCTTTTAAAAGTCTCCTTTTCTGTCATTTTAAAAAGTTTAACAACTGTTTCCTTCCTGCTCATCATCCAGCCTTGTCAGCCAGACTGACATTGACATTAGTTCCCCATGCCTGTTTATATTTAGATGATGAGCTTTTAGGGGTAGGAAGCTTCTTTCTGATCATCTTGGCAGTACACAGTACAATGCAGTTACTATCCAACACATATCGCTGCTGACGCTAATAATTCTATATACAAAGTTTAGGTATGTGTATATAAATACATTTATCAAAAAGACAATGTGACTAAGCATAAAACCTGGATTCTTAACTCTGAGGATATCTGGCAAATTTCTCTAATATTTCTTGTCCGTTTTTTTTTTTCTAGTTTTCGGAAGAATTTCGGTTGTGCTTCAAATGCCTCTGCAAAGGCTAAGGAGCAACAGGCCTATGACATTATCAAGGAAGAGAGCAAGAAATTGGGCCCAATGAAGTTTGCAGAAATAGCAGTTTTGATCCTCTTCATACTACTGGTACTGCTCTGGTTCCTAAGAGACCCTGGTTTCATACCAGGTTGGGCAACAGTCCTTTTCAACAAAAATAATAGGTATCGCCACTTTTCCTCCTCACTTTGGATAAAAATGAAGTAGGCTAGATTTCATAGCAATGGAAACACAGCGAGACTGAATCTCTGACTGATCTATTGCAGCTATGTCACTGATGCTACAGTTGCCATCTTCATTTCAGTTTTGTTGTTCATCATTTCTGTTTTTTTTTTCTAACAGTGACGGCGACAAAGAAGAAAAAGGTATGTTTACTGAAGGCATCAAGAACCAATCATCAGAATAGGTACAGAGTACGTTTCATATTTTAGATTTACCAAGGAAACTTAAAACATTGCTGCCCAGGGAGGTGGTGGAGTCACCATCCCTGGATGTATTTAAAGAGCGGGTAGATGAGGTACTTAAGGATATGGTTTAGGGGGTAGACAGGAGCGGTTGGACGTGATGATCTCAAAGGGCTTTTCCAACCCAGCGATTCTGTGATTCTGTGTGATTAAACAAGACTTCCAACTGCTCTTCCTGTGTCAGGAGATAATTCCACTGCCTACTTGATCTTGCTGACAGAAATGTTCACTGATGTTTAGGATAAACTCACCTCCCACCCAGAAGTCTTCCTTTCTTTGGAAGAAGTAACATGGCTTACGCAATATGTTTGGATTTTAGGCAGCAAGTCAAAAATCCGAGCACCTCCAGCTCTCTTGGACTGGAAAACAGTTCATCAGAAAATGCCATGGAACATCGTGTTTCTGCTGGGAGGCGGCTTTGCCCTAGCCAAAGGCAGTGAGGTAACATTCCTCTGCTTACCTGATAGTTGTGTCTCCCTGGGTGTTTTCCAGCTTGCTTTTCACGCGTGCTCTCCCAGAACGCAAGAGGGCATGCTGGTAGCACCAAACACGCGTTTCCTGTGCCACTGGCGGTGGGACACACTTCACCTTTAGGAGGAGTCCTGTGATGAGAATGAAAATGAATCTTTATGGTTGCCTATGCAACTGGGCTGGCACCACCAATCCAGGCAGCACGATTAACTGTGTTTCTGGAAAAGTGGATGATTAAGAAACTACCCCAATACATTAAAGTTTCTATTAAATACACCTTAATCGATATGGCAAGCATGAGGAGATAATGTGCCCAGGATGGGTCTCCAAACTACTTCAAACAAAGTACTTATGGAAATATGATTTAAATTAAACTACTATAAGACAAAAGTAGAGACAGCTAGAGAACGTGCAGGAGCAGATAAAAGTGTCTGGCTGTCAACCTGAAAGATGTGCTGATGTACTTCTGCAGGCATCTGCTGGGAGTCCAGAGCTACAAATTCTTTTTCAGTAATGACTTAGATGATGGAACAGACAATACATTTATTAAATCTATAGCCAATAAAAAAAAAATCTGAGAAGTCTTCAAGTGCCTGGAAATACCAGTTTAGAATTCAAAGATCACAATGACCTCTAAAAGTGGTTCTAGAAAACAAGGATGCAACTCAATAAGGGAAATAGGAAGAAATAACTAAATATCACAAATGCCAGATGTTCAGATGACTGGATAAGTTTTAAAGCTGCTCATACACAGAAGAGACAGGTTGAAGGAGGCAAGATATGAAATAGAGAGGACATGAAGAACAACGGTGTTGCAAAACCAGTAGGAAAGCTAGGCCATGCTGCACTAAGAAGCAAGACAGGCACAGTTAGGATACGTTCTCTTGAGAAGGACAGCTGAGTAATAGCAATGCACGTATATTTTTAATTAACCTACTCAATTATTGTGTCTATAAGCATCGTCTCTCACATGTTTTCCTACAAAAAGCAGTTTGTATGAGAACTCCTATAAGAAGGGAAAATAGGATTGGTGTGAGAAATATAATTGGACTGCCATGTGGCTGTTTCTTCCCCAGCCTCTTACCCTGACAGACCTCTTTCTTCCCTCTGCTACAGGAATCTGGTCTGTCTGCATGGCTCGGTAGCAAACTGACTCCTCTGCAGCAAATCCCTCATCCAGCTATTGCTCTCCTGTTGTGCCTCCTCATTGCCACTTTCACCGAGTGCACCAGCAATGTGGCCACCACCACCCTCTTTCTCCCTATTCTGGCTTCTATGGTAAGTTCCAGTTTTCAAAATACTCTTAAAAGAACAACTTTCAACTCTGCTGCGAGCACACGTTTGCTCGAGTATAAAAACAGACTGTCTGACATAGCCAAGCATTGGTTCTTTTATTCAATCAGGAATACAAGACTTAAAATATAACATATATGTATGTGTGTGCACATATATTCACACACACGGTGCTTAGTTCAACCTTTCTAAAATCATTGCTGGTGAAAAGTAAAGGGATTAAATTCATTGGCATTTAAATTCGTTGACTTTGCCTTCTGTCCTAAACAACCTCATGAGGTCACTGCCAGCTGTACTTCTTTTTTCCTATTTGTTCTGCATAGAGACAGCAGCGAAGGCAGCGTTTGCTTCCCTGCAACATTCCATTACTGTATTTCACTACAACCACTTTCCTTCCAGAAGTCTCTAAAGGAGATAGCATCAGTCAGACTCTGCGACCTAATTCAGGCTCTTGTGTTTCCACAGCTTGGGTAGACATGGTTCTGCTGCGTGAAAAGCTGGTGTCAGATAGAAACTGGAATAAGCTCCACCAACATCTTTTTGCACAGACTTCAGCTAACCCCTAAACTGACCCACTCATCTTCAGAGTTTGGGCTACCCTGTTTCCCCTGATAATTTAATTCTGCTCTTAGCCAGTTTGAAGCCACTTTACATTTTAACTGGTTTAGAGTTGAATGCAGCCACTATTGCTAATTTATACTGCAGCAGTGATCAGATTCCACAATTGGGAACACAAAGCACTGGCCACAAAAACAATTCTTGCATTTGCTGCATGAAGGCATTGGTTAGAAACTTCTAAAGAAGAACCAAAATATAAATGGCCACAGTGTTTGTGAAAGAACGAGGTTTCTGACATGGATAAACACTATCAGTCTTCTGCCAAAAGATTTCTCTGCATTTTTTGTATATTGAAATGGTCTTCTTTGCTCTCCCTTCTTGCACAGGCTGAAGCCATCTGCCTCAATCCGCTCTATGTCATGCTGCCCTGTACCCTTTCTGCATCGTTGGCGTTTATGCTGCCAGTGGCCACTCCTCCTAATGCCATTGTCTTCTCATATGGACAGCTCAAGGTTATAGATATGGTGAGCAAAAGCACATCCTTTTCAGAATTTTCATCACTAGTTTTGACCTTTCCTTTTTCTAATATTGGTTCTTCTTGAAAGAGTGGTAGAAAACTGACTGAGCTCAGCTAAAGTCAAATAGAAAGAAGAATATAAATGTGTGAATTAATAAAGGGTCGCACTGACACTAATACATACACAGAGCCTTATAAAGGTGATACTGAGCTTTTGAAAAACACCCAAGGCCTCACGAACAGGCCTCCTCCAGCAGGGGGATTGGACTGGATGATCTTTTGAGGTCCCTTCCAATCCCTAAAGTTCTGTGATTCTGTGATTCTGTGAAGATGTCCCAACAAGAGCTTGCTGTCCGTGAGGAACGGCAACGCCTGTTTGAAAAGCCCAACTGTAGATCATAGGGATGTCAAAGAGTCGCATCATCTGGACAGTCCTTCTGCAGGGAGTAGTGCAAAGCCCAGATCATCTCAATAGGTTGCCCTGATGCCTTTTCTCAATATGTTAAGGGAAGATGGACAAGGATGCCATGTCTCCAGGTAACATTTCTAATTTAAAATCAATCCAAGAAGAAATCCAAAGTAAGCCAGGTCAGAAGATAAAGTCCTACATAAGTGGATTAAAAGGATTTCAGGACTTCTAGTTTAAGAGTTTTATCCAATGGAAACTCTTTTTCCCTAAAACAAATTATATTTGTGAAAAAAACCCAGCTTAAATGCAATTTGATGGAGTTGTGAAAAAGGCCAAAGAGAAAAATCTATCCATACAAACAATCCTCATCATCAGGGAAGGACAAGAGCACTCAGTTCAACTAATAACCCTTCTCTTTTATAATTCTAGGCCAAAGCTGGGTTCATACTCAACATCCTAGGGGTTCTGACGATAACTCTAGCCATCAACACCTGGGCTTCGTCTTTGTTCCAACTGCAAACTTTCCCATCTTGGGCAAATAGGACAGGTACATGCCCGTAACATGGAGAGGCAAAGGAGCCAACAACTGTTTCTGTTCGAACTGCAATGAGAGCAAGACTACCATCTACACAAGTTTTGCCGAGGCAGTGGTTAAGAGACAGACCTGTTCTGTGGAGAAGGACAAGCCAGCTACAAGCAAAAACATTCAGTTGATAACAGCAATAAAATTGCCTAATACTGCTATTTAGCAGGCAATTTTGTTACCCCAGCAATAAGATGAGGTAACCTTTGGCTTTTCAACCGTTCCAGGTATCTTTAGATTTTCTGTCTCAGCAGGGGTACTAGCGACGCTGCTTTTCAAGCTACATCTCTAAAGTCTGAAACCTCAGTGAGAAAGGAGAGAGGTGTGTACATAAAAGGAAGGAGAGAGACTCTACGTACCTGATTTTATGCATATATCTGTGTCATGTCACAGCTAATATGAATGCTCACCTGTATATGAGTATACAGGCCCCTGTATATATGTTCAAACTGTACATGATTGCCATCTATTCTACGGGCACTCACAGCAAGCCATGTGTTGTATGATTACAAATCACATCCTGTCAGCCCGTTCCATTACTTTGAAATATATTTATTTGCAGACCCCTTGTTATGAATGTAAAATAGGATATTTTCCTAGAACATCAGTCCCGTTGTTCTTTATGTAAGATTACATCCTGCAAGGTCATGATAAGTATAGCAATATACTCCTGAGAAAAGGAGAATCCTTGTGTCCTAAAATATTTATGATTGAATTAAAGATTTTTTTTTTATGTACTACCTGTCTTATGGAGATTTTTTTCTATTATATATCACTGATTCTACTTCTGTCCTCCATGTATCAACTGCTTATCTGTGTGCTTCCTTAACGTATCTTGAAATAATCAAAGAAGTTAGCATAATTGATTTTTTCTTATCGTTAAAGTAATAATTACTTTATTATTAAGAGTCCCATTTTCTTGGAGTCTCAAAACCAGTATTTTCTTTCTCAAGAGCCCTTGATGCAGTTAAATATTTAATCCCTACTCTGCTAGAACTCACTTTCAGTAGCACATAGACTCCTAATGACCAGGCTGACAAAGATACTGGAATATCCAAAGACACTGTGCCAAATCACTTACTGAGCACCACGCGTGAGGTTGGGTTCAGACAGATCAGTTACACAACACGTGCCCCTGAACTTTGCGCTCAATGCTTTGTTCTCTTGTTGCCTGCCCAAGTTTTGCACCAAGTCTATTGCATTTCTGAAACGCCACTTGACCCATACTGGTTCAATGAGTGAACATGAGTGAATTTCACTCGAAAATAGTATGCGTGTTCTTCAAAATCTTTCTTCCTTTCTTTCTTCCTTCCTTCCTTCCTTTCTTCCTTCCTTCCTTCCTTTC